GACCTGATCACCTGTGGACCAGCATGGACCTCAGGACAACTAAAGACCTGATCACATGTGGACCAGCATGGACCTCAGGACAACTAAAGACCTGATCACCTGTGGACCAGCATGGACCTCAGGACAACTAAAGACCTTATCACCTGAGGACCATCTTGGACCTCAGGACAACTAAAGACCTGATCCCAGGAGGACCATTGTGGACCGTAAACAGCTAAGAGCAAATAATCATGTTTAATGGGTCTGGATGACACAGTAGCCTGCAGCAGTTCCTGACAGGTCTAAAGGAGGCTGTCCATTCAGGGCCTTTATGGTCATTAATCAAACTTGAAATTCTCAAACAAATGGAGCCAATGAAGGAAAGCAACATCGGATAGAGTTAGCAATTTCTTTATGCCGAATGTCCTTCCTGACTCAAGCTGGGTTTGAACCTGCAGCCTCAGATTTATTATTAATTTGATTGTAACCTCATGTCTCTCGCCTGTCTTTCATTAGTTGGTCCCGGGATGTGGGTTATTGTTTGGTTCTGTTGATATTGACTCTGTGCCTGACGCCACACGATTTATGCGTGTGAACTATAGCCGAACCGAACTGATGAGAATAGGAGCGGATTTGCAACGAAATATAGCAGAAATCAGCAACAAACTCAAAACTACGCTCGGCAGAATGCAGATCTTAAAGTCATCTACCTGGAAGCTGCAGCAGAGGCGTTCCAGCGGGCAGAAGAGGAAGCGCTGCTCCCGGCTTAAGAGGAGAGGATGCCGGGCGGGGGTTATGGTGAGGCTACGAGCTAACGCTAAAGCCGGTAAACTCCCCATGCCGTCTCTCTTTCTGTCGAATGTCCGCTCGTTGGACAACAAGGTGGATTTACTTCGTCTGAGAGCGGGCGCCTCAGAAGAGATGAAGAAGTGTGCGGTGCTTTGCCTCATGGAAACATGGATTACAAGCAAAACGCCGGACTCAGTCTTTCAGCTGGATGACAGACTTTTTTTTCGAGCGGACCGCTGCAGCAAGCTAACGGGGAAATCACGGGGAGGCGGAGTGTGCATTTACATGAGTAAAAGTTGGTGCACGAACTGTACTGTTGTAAATAGCTCATGCTCGAAGGCTTTGGAGCAAATAACAGTGAAATGTCAGCCACATTATCTACCCCGAGAGTTCACAGTGACTTTTATCTCTGTCATCTACATTCCTCCGGACGCTAATGCTAATGAATCACTGCAGGAGCTTCATGATATCATCAGCTCGCTGCAGAACAAACACCCCGAGGCTCTTTACGTGGTAGCCAGAGACTTTAACCACGTGAATCTAAAGGACTGTCTCCCAAGCTTTAATCAGCATGTGATAATTCCGACACATGGAGACAAGACGCTGGACCGTGTTTACACGAACGTAAAAGATGCATACAAAGCCGAACCCCGCCCCCACGTAGGACTGTCAGACCACATCTCAATCTTCCTGGCTCCTGCTTACATGCCCCCGCTGAGACGCTCCAGACCGGTACAAAAGGAAGTTAAATGCTGGATCCAGGACAGTGGACCCATACTGAGAGATGGTTTTGATCGAACAGACTGGCAGGTTTTCAGAGAAGCTGCTGGAAATGGAGGATCGCTTGATCTGGACCAATACACATCCTCAGTTCTGGGTTACATTAGTACATGTACTGACACCGTCTCCACTATCAGAAATGTTAAAAGCTACCCAAACAGAAAACCTTGGCTGAATGCAGAGGTGCGTACCCTGCTGGAAGCCAGGAACACTGCCTTCAGGTCTGGACACTCAGAGGAGCTGAGTAGGACAAGAAAAGAGCTGGTTGCTGGTATTAAGAGGGCCAAGGCCACATATGCAAAGAGGATCGAGGGTCAATTCATCTCACAAGACCCTC